CTTCTGTCGTTATTACACAAACAAAAATCTCTTTACTGTTACTAGTGTTAGTGCCTCCATATGGCTACGCTCGTGAAATCAATACAACGAACTCAAACGCGTCTTCGTCCAATGTTGTCAACTAATATCCGGATTAATTTTATTTTCCTCAATTCTCTGGAGAAATTTTCATAAAAATTTGAAAAACCAGGAATTCCGGGAAAATCCAGAGGACTTTCATCTCTGCAACATTTTCCCAATTATTAACATGAAGGTTGTAACAATAATAAGTCTATATGGTGTTGGCATCATACCCGGTGTGAATGCATTATGTAACTTCAGGGAAAAAAAAAAAAAAAACCACACCAAAAAAACTGAATTACATTTCTCCTTAAGGAAATGGATGATTTGCTGTCTCGCCGGTGACTGGGGCATGCAACACTAAAACGGTGAGGTTTTAATAAGATGTGTGCAGAAAGAACCACACATCAATAGATATATTTATATTCCAACACCGCGATGTCTTGCAACGGTGGAGCAGAACCTTCTCGCACTAACGCACAATGAATAATAGCACATCAGGACGACGATAACTGCACTAAAAGAAGTATCAAGTTTGAGTTTTACCTTGCTGTTGTATTAGCGGTGAAATAGTTTGAATAAATGATCTTAACTTTTTACTTTGCGCCGTCGATTTCCGACAGGGTGGGGTTGATGACAGGGACAAGAGGCTAATTGCTAATGTGGACTGAACAATTCAACCAAGCTAACCAAAGCCAACAGGCTCACGCTGTACTTGGCAAGTTATAACCTGCTAGTGGGTGAGGAGACATGAGTGGTTTAGAAACCCCTACGAGACAACTGCGAAAGAGAGCAGACAAACCTTTTTTTGAAAAGCAGAGGCGCTTCCAGGTGCCTTAATAAGTCCGTTCGTTGTGCGCTGCTGTGTAAGTATGGCGAATAACGGAACGGCGCCGCCCGGTGCGCCACCCGCCCTCGCAGCATTTCCGGGAATAAAACTACGGCGAGACACAAGTCTCAAATGTATAGAGCACCGTTCACCCTCCACCTGTCCCACCCTGCCCTCTTCCATGGTGTTTGGTGCAAAAGTTTTCAGAACCACAGCTGGACTATGCAGCACTATTTCTGCTGCGACATAAATGTACCTAAATACATAATCTATTCTCATGGCATCGGCCTACGCATTTTTTTAAACATAGTTTTAGGTCAGAAATGGCACTCACTCAGTCGGGTTTTCCACCGTGTAATCTCTCTTTTACTACCACCACTGTCATATCAAATAATATAGAAACCATCATACTATACAAAAAGGCAATATAACGATACACAACTGTGCCAGCAGTCAAGAATCAAGATTTATCAAAAACATGACAAAAACCCCAAATACATTTAAATAAAATACAGAGATGTCAAGCAACAAAATTATTTAATTAATTTACTTAAGCTAATATTTTAGACTGATACTCCTTCCATTTTACCCAAATATCTCTACTTTCTACTCCTTATAAAATAATAATACTTTTTAAAAAAGCCTCGTTGCACTTTCATTTTGGATTGTGTTCATTCCATTCATCGTTGTTCAAAATGCCAATCCGGAAAAAATGCATGAGGATAGATCGAGTGATTAGGGGTGTTCACACGGCACACATTTGCTCCAGTGCTGCACCGATTTATTTTGTTGCGATATATTTTACACCGGAGCAAATTTTGTGGAGCGTTCACACCAGTGGCGGATGCTGGTCTGCCAAGGAGGGGAAGCTCAATTTTGGCCTACATCATAAAATGTGTCCATTTATTTATTTATACCTGAATTCTACTCTCCGTTCCTTTTCAAGAAAATGATCTGTGACCTTATGGTGATATAATTCAGTCTGCAAACACAAGCAACTACAATAAAACCCCCAGAAATAAAAGATTAATTTGTCGCTCGTCGTTTTCAACAATTTTGTCGCTAAGATGATAAGAAGTCTCCCGTTCAACTCAGAACAGAATGAGAATTGAAAGTGCTCCCATGGATGCCAACACAAAAAGATCGGTGATTGTTTCATTTCGATGTCAATCAAACTGGAACACAGGCTCAGACAAATCATCCAATCTGATGCAGAAAAACTTAGCGTCCGGTACCCGCCCATTGCCATCCAGTCCCAGAGACGCCGAGCGTCCGTGAGCGGGACAAAAACCAGCTTGTATCCAATGACTCGTCTCCATTCAACGTATTGGGACAACCTACCCTGAACTCTCGAGATGCTCGGCACCCGGGCAGTCGACGCTCAGCGGACACTCAGTGTCCACCGTTTAAAGCACAGCAAAGCTGCGGGAATGAATGAGAAAGGAGTCGTGTTGTAACCAGTAAGAAGAACCTGAGTCGGAACAAAAGTTGAGCACGTTGTAGCGCATATTTAGTCAATGACATGGACACACAATGAAATTTACATTCTTATATTTGATCATTTATTCTTTGACATTTTAGGGGAAGCTGAGCTTCCCTTCCAGTCCGAGAGCAATCGCCACTGGTACACACATATATTTGATCACTTATTTTTTGACATTTTAGGAGAAGCTCAGCTTCCCTTGCAGTCTTAGAGCAATCGCCTCTGGTTCACACGTACAAAGCTGCTGAGCGTGTTAACCCCGGCGTAGCACCGGTGCAGCCCCACTTGCGTTCACACGGCAGTTTCTGCAGGGGTGCAAAACCATAGAAAACAAAGAGCTGTCGTGTTGGTTCTTTTTAAAACATACACAACTCATGCAACTGCTGTACAGGCACGTCCTTCTCCTTCTCGGTCTCCGTGCCTTCTGCTCGAGAGGCGTTCAATGACCGCCCCCGAAAACGTAAATCAACGATGACTTCAATGACACTCAGAAAAGCAAACATATTATGCGCCAAACAGAAAATCAAGAGAGGAAATCACAAAATAAATTCTATGGGGGGGGGGGGTTGTGAACACACAACAAAGGAACAAACTACACAAACAACTCAGAGACAGTCCAATATCCTACAAAAGGAAAGATGATGTTTGGGGACTATCCCCCCCCAGTGATTGTGGTTGGATGAGAAGTATAACATGTACCATTCCAAAACGCTATTAGTTTGTATGCAATACATTGCATCTGCATGACGCAAATCAACAAATCAATGTCAACTCGCCACACTCAAACAAGTGCTGACGCTTTGCAGGAAAGATGTCCATGCCCCAATCAAGTACTGTCGCAGTAGGGAGGAGGTTTGTAGCCAGAAATGCCAGCCAACAATCGCACATCCCTGGTCGTACTTGGAGGTTTGCTAAAATAACTCATTTCAAATGTGAGTGTTGTGGTAATAGCTGTTATGCTTTTACTTTGAAAGCACCTAACAGTATGTATGCTGGCCCAAATGTCGTTAGCTTATGAGGCCTAGGGAGACGTGTGTGACTACTGCTAGAGTTAGGTCGATAATAAACTATTGCTTGCTTGAAACCGACTGCAGCTTATTTACCCACATTATGACATGGTGTCAGAAGTCAGACAGCGGTAAGAAGAGCACGAAGAGCAACTTTTGGAGTTGGGAGGTGAAAAAAAAAAAAAGATGTCCGAAGACGGCAACGACGAGGCCGCAGCAGCGCCGCGGCAGAAACAAACTCCTCAGCTACCGACGAATGCCAACGTTCCTCCGAGCGCTACATTCTCCATACAACCACCGGAAGCATTCGACTTCTCAAACCCTCAAGATTGCGAACGGTGGATACGCAGGTTTGAGAGATTCAGACTGGCCAGCAACCTTCATCTTAGCACAGATGCTAACCAGGTGAACACGCTAACTTACTGCATGGGGGATGAAGCAGACGACATCCTGCGTGGGCAATATTTAACTGACGCACAGAGACAGCAGTACACCTCGGTAAAGAACACGCTCGAAACGTACTTTGTACCCAGAAGGAACGTGATATATGAGAGAGCTAAATTCAATCAGAGAGTGCAGCAACCTGGCGAGGCTGTTGACGTTTTCATTACTGCACTGTATGCCCTGGCGGAAAACTGCAAATACGGAGCACTCCACGACGGGTTAATAAGGGACCGCATCGTGGTGGGGCTGAGAGACGCCAGTTTATCTGAGAGGATGCAGCTAGACGCAGATTTGATGCTGGAAAAAGCAGTAAACATGGCAAGACATGACAAGTCAGAAGTAATAAAAAAAGCAGCAAAACGACCTCAGAGGAGGAGGTATGATGGACATTGATGCAGTAATAAAAGGAAGAAAACAAAAACCATTAACACACAAGACCCCTGAGTACCCAAAGCACTCATCAGCAAAGCCACAGCCATCATCATCGGATTGTCAGACATGCTACAGATGTGGAGAGTCACCCGGTCATGTCAAAGCACAATGCCCAGCTAGAGATGTCACATGTCACACATGTGGAAAGCGAGGCCATTACAGCAAAGTTTGTAAGTCTACCAAAACAGTACATGTTGTAGAGACAGACTGCAATGAGGACACTCCCTGATTCCTAGACTCAGTAGACGCAGGATGAGACCCATGGTTTGCTGATTTGACAATTAGAAACCACAAAGTCAGGTTTAAGATTGACACAGGAGCTGACGTCGCAGTTATTCCGGCCCATATCTACCATGCCATTACAGAGGGCGACTCTCAGTTAGTCAAAACCGACAGACCACTATTTGGCCCAGGTCGAATGCCCCTATCTGTGTTAGGCAGATACAGTGAGTCACTGTGCAAGGGGGAGCGAGTGATACAGGAAGAGATTTATGTTGTCAATGACTGAAATGTAGCCTTGTTAAGCAGACCAGCAAGCGTTAAGCTTAAACTAGTCTACAGAGCAGACACCATAGACAAGTCTGGAATGGAAGAAGCCTACCCAAAAGTGTGTCAGGGTTTAGGAATGATGCTGCAGCCATACACTATCAAGCTCAGGCCAGACGCCATTCCCTACTCCCTGGCCACACCAAGACGAGTCCCTATCCCTTTACTTGGAAAAGTGAAAGAGGAGCTCAAGCGAATGGAAAACATTGGTGTCATATCCAGAGTGGAAGAGCCAACGGACTGGTGCTCGGGCATGGTTCCAGTGCCCACAAAGAACGGCTCAGTGCGCATCTGCGTCGACCTCACACGCCTCAACGAAGCGATCTGTAGAGAGAGATACACACTGCCGTCAGTGGAGCAGACTATCGGCTCCCTGGCAGGAGCAAAGGTCTTCAGCAAGTTGGATGCCAATAGAGAATTCTGGCAAATTGCATTGTCGCCTGAATTGTCACTATACACCACATTCATAACTCCCTTTGGCCGCTTCCGCTTTAACAGATTGCCCTTTGGCATTGCGTCAGCCCCAGAACATTTTCAGCGGCGCATGTCAATGATCATCGACAGGCTGCAGGGAGTCATATGTCATATGGATGATATCCTCATATGGGGAAGAGATCAACAAGACCACGACATCAGACTACACACAGTTCTCAACAAGCTCCAGGAAGCCGGTGTCACACTTAACATGGAGAAGTGTGAGCTGGGAAAAGGTGAAGTCAAGTTTCTGGGTCATATTCTGTCCGCAGACGGAGTGCAGCCAGACCCAGAAAAGGTAAAGGCAGTCATGTCCATGAGAGAGCCGTCCAACACAGGAGAGGGAATGCTAAATCAGCTAGGAAAGTACATTCCAGGCCTGGCGGAAAAAGACAAGCCGCTGAGAGACCTTCTCTCAAAGAAGAATCAGTGGGTCTGGGGATGTGCACAACAGAGAGCGTTTGATCAACTGAAAAATGATCTCACATCACCTCCAGTACTGACACTTTACGACCCCAACAAAGAGCTGAAGCTGTCGGCGGATGCCTCGTCATACGGACTAGGAGCAGTCCTCCTACAGAAGGAGGAAGAGCAGTGGAAACCAGTCGCGTACGCATCACGTGCAATGACAGAGACAGAACAGAGGTACGCCCAGGTGGAGAAGGAAGCGCTAGGAGTGACTTAGGGGTGCGAGCGTTTCTGGGATTTCCTTA